TGTTTGAATTTGAGTCATGACTTTGCATTCATGGTTTATAATAAATGATAGGGTCTAACTCTCCAATTCTCATGATTGATTGTGGGAATGAACTATCATATGTTAGTCATTGTGAGCAAAATTGAACTTTTTTTTAATAAAAAAAATGGACAACATAGTTATATACTCATTTAGAGCTGCAATTAGGTCAGATTATTTATTTATTTTTTTTATTATGAGAAAAAAAATACACAATGAGAAACTAAAAAAAAAAAAGTTAAATAATGTTTTTTCAAACATGTGTTGTCAATCTTGGCCAGTGTTTGGACTCTTTGGGAGCTTTGGTCCATTTTAACGGTCAAAATCCACAAAATGCAAGACTTAAAGCATTGATTCTTTTAAGAATTTAACTATTTATAGTTCTTTGTAGCTTTTTATACCAATTACTACCTCATATTCTTTTTAAATGTCATTTTGGCTTTATCAACTATTAACAAAATAAATATCGTTTTAGATCTTTTGTACTACCTCTTGTTCATTATAAATGTCGTTTTGACTTTTGTGATTCATCTATTTTATTATGTATCTAGACATTAATATGTCTAGATACCTAACAAAATAGATGAATTAAAAAAGTCAAAACGACATTTATAATGAATAGGAGGGAGTACATGTTTTTCCATTATTACCCTCATTTAGTCAATAAATACACTACGTCTTTCCATATTCCCTCTTCATTTTTTTCTCAAAACATTCATCTATCTTCATTAAATAGGGTTATTATTGACAACAAAAATATTCTTAATTATTGTGCAACTTCTCAGAACGACATTTATTTTGAATAGGAGGGAGTAAAATGTAAGTATGTATAATAATTTGCCAAAGATTAAAATATAAATGATATATAATGATGTTGTTTTATTAGTCACACAAAACAATCCAAAGGTCCAGCGCTAGAAGCCACTATTTATTAAGCTCAACCTCACAAAACAAAGGCTCCTAGAAAAGAAGAGAACAAAACAAAAAACATTAAATCCATTGTCAGAATTAATTGAAGGGGACTATTGCGAGTTTGAATTTAATAACAAATGAATCACATCAAGCACAGTAGACACAGTTCATAATTTGGAATATATATATAACAAACATTTCATAATTTGGAATATAATTTAGACTCTAGAAATTTTTTAAACACTTTTTTAGATTTCAAAATTATGATGTATTCATTTGAGATTTTAAAAAAAAAAATCTTAAAATATAATGAGGTACTCATTTAAGATTTAAAAAGGTCATATAAAGGTCATAATTTATTTATCACTTGAATTTGTATGCACTTTGTGCTATTTCTAAGACAAAATACGCATACAGACATCTCACGTCAAAGTTCACCTATGTACATGAGAAAGTCACAATTTTTTAATAAATAAAAATAATATTTAAAGTTTGAAACGAATACATTTACCTAACTAGGAAGGTTTAATAATAATAATAATAATAATAATAATAATAATAATAATAATAAGTAGTGAATTCAAATTAAAAGTACCGTGGGCTGTCGGGTTCATGGATGTTTAGGGTAAAAGATCTCATGTCATGTGAGGGTTATATAACTGAATGGACTTAAACCATTTGGGCCCATATCGTGGGCCTCAGGAGTTGTGATAATATACAACATCATGTGGGCATATATTGTGGGCCTCGAGAATCGTTTGTATTTCCACGAAACTAGAAAGTTTGCACTTTACAGTCAACTCTTTAGTCGAGATTGCTCTTGACCACCTTTCATGTGATTACTAGTTTACTATAACTTCTGCATAAATTCACGTATTCATTTTATTATATAAATATGATTACAAAAGGCTAATTGTCATAAAATAAGTGATGTAATGCAAGATGGATTTGACTAATATGTAAAATAATACTCGACATGTAAATTTGCCCCATCATACATAATACATGAACTAAATATAGCAAAAAAGAGGTGTATGATGTTATGATGTCTCTACACTTGCAGCAAGACAAAATATAACATAATTTTCGAATATTACTACTTCCTAGTTTGAAAACTGTCTACGGTCTTTCGAATTTTAATCCTCTTAGTCATACTGATTTTAAACTAAGATCAAAATCACCACACTGTGAAAATAAACTAGTACAATATATGTGCGTTTAGTTCAACTAAAAACTTTACACATAAAATTAATGCGTAAATTCGAGTAGCTGAAGCTGGAGAAGAGTTACGTTACGTGGCTAAAATGGAACTAAAGTCCAACATGCTAAAAGAAATGGGTCATTGTTGGTTCTATTCGAGTGGAGTCGAGCATGTTAATTTCATTCTAAACTATAAGGTTACCAAAAAAGAAAAAGAAAAAAAGGAACCATGCGGTCGAGTTATCTTCTTAACATGGACTTCTGCTAATTGTGAAAAATATCAATTTAGCAGGCACGTGTAAAGAAAGAGGGATGTACATTTCAAAATAGTCGTGGATGTATGGACTTGAGATATTAATCAGAAACCATCTTCGGTGTCACTTCCAGTCATTTGGCCCTCTTGACTTATTGAGTAGCTGCTTCCATCTGGGCCCAACACTTTAAACCTGAATATCCCCACACATACACACACACACACATAAAGAGAAAGACAAGAGGACAAATGAATATAATAAATAAAGAAAATGGTAGAAGGTTTATATGCTAATATGAAATTTGTTTCATAACATTGCCAAGGCACATCCAAAAGTTCTTTACCTCTCTAAGATATATTTTCCAACTTTGTATTTTTGGGTCTTCTCATGAGCAGCTACCTGATATAATTGATAAAAGGCACAAAGGCGAAATTTTGAGCAGTTGGCATGGAAACAAGAATAGGAACAAAATAGTGAATCAAAATTAATAAGAGAAAACCAGTTATATATCAAAATTGTGAATCAAGTCCACAAGATTTTTCATTTTGTACTTGCAGTTATATCAACAAGTTATATTTCTAACAACTTAATGGGCATTTTGGATTCGGAATATAATTGGAGTATTCTGTAATTAGGCTAAGCCTCAGTCCTCAGGGGTAGTACGTGAGATTATCAGACAAAAAAAAAAAAAAAGTGCAAGCAGTAAAGGGTCTCACATATTTCCATCCGACAATCGAGCCACAGCTCACACAGAATATATCAACCACAGTGTGCATTCCAGTCATCATCAATCGCTCTTCTTTAGCCCCAGTAGTAACATTCACACTGTTAGCACGTACCATGTTATCAGGTTAACATTATATATCAAAAGGCATTAGGGGTTACATAAACCTTTATAGACCTTTATAGCTGATCGATTATCCGATATCAAGAATTTGGAGAAATATTGTTGGCAGCAATCATATTACTTAATTTTTTTCACTCCCAGCAATTGAAAAAAATCTTAAGCAAATATGATGTATTAAAAGGATTATGCTCGTAAGAGAGGGCATCACAGGGAGCACAGAAGGAAGAAAGACATTGACACATTCTACTAGTAAAGTTATGGACAAAACTCAAAGATGTTGAGACTTAAGCTAGCATACATGCAGATAATAAATAAACTTACACTTTATCAATGAGATAAGCCTTCCCATGCCTGCAGTGGAAGGACTGGAAACAGGCAAAGTAATTGTGTCAAGATCTGTGTGAACAAAACCGTGCATGTACAAGTGAAAATAGCATGACAGTTTGTGGGGTTGAATGGGATATAACTAACAAATATGCCATAATGAAGTATTGAATTGCGAAAAGTGAGATAGATATAACTAAAATTACAAGTAGCTGACGATGTAGTGGAGATGTTAAGTAAACAAGTGAAAAAAGAAGAACAAACGAACTTAAGCAGGCTCTAAGTCTCTGAGTCTTCCTTGAGAGCAATACTTGAGTATAGAGCAATTAGATGATAATATTAGCTTTAGGCCTCTATAAATGAATGAAGCAACCAAATGTAACATTTCTCATAAAGTAGAACCATAGATTTAGCGATCTCCTTGTATGATAAATCCATATCTACAAGTTTCATTATGTCTGCCAGAGTATTAGAAAGCTAATGCAGTATATTTTAACTACTGGTTTTGCGGCTAACGTAAACCCACTAAATTGGCTGTCAATCAAGCATTTTCTGGTAGCATGCATGAACGCAGAAGTGCCAAACTTCGAAAGAAAACGTGATGTGTATTATGCAAAATATTGCACGTCGCTTCTTTGTAGATGATTTCATTTACTACTCCTATTGTGGGAAAACAATTGATGAATTGTTGGCAAAATGAAGAGCAACCTCTCAAGCAATAACTTGACATCAGTCAATACTCCTCAAATTGAATATTAAAATGTCATTATAGACATCAACTCACAAAGCACCCGACCCAGCTCAACATATCAAGAACACTATCCTACCATCACAAAAAAATTGAAGCAAACTGATCATCACTCTGTACTTCGATGAACTCAACCCCTTAAAATTTCAACTAAACGAACAGTTCAGAATTTGACAGCCTTTCTCCTTTACGAAAGACACAAATTATCAACAAATACACTTTGACAATTATAATTGCAAAACGAAGCACAGAAAACTCCTGTCACCATGAAGCAAACCTTACAACTACGTCAACCAATATAAAAATGACGGACAAAAAACTGTTCAAATACGTCAACACTTAACAAGTCAGACTAACCAAAGTTTCACCAAATAAATACAAGCTCATCTGTCAATTCTCAACCACTAAACCGGAACATTCAGATACAATCAAAATTTTGAATATCGAAATAGATATCAAACAATCAATATCAGCATTCAGAAGAACGAACTCAAAGATACAGCAAAAGAAAACTACAAAACCTTGGAAACAATATCATCAGCTAGAGCGAGATGCGATTGGCAGTGCTTGCAGGAGTACTTGTCTCCTTCCAAATAGATCAAAAACAACCTTCCCATCGCACACTTCACCTGAATCCGCTAGTTGTTATCGCCTTCCAAAAATCACGCACCTCAGTTCTTCGTTCACCTAAAATGCAAAAACCGAAGCAAATGCAGATCTCA